CGTTTTTCCTTTTGGGCCACCCCACCTCGGTGGGATACGGCTGGTACGTTGAAAGAAGAAGAATGCAGGCTAATATTACCATGTCTAATTTTTCTCATTTACTATATTGCACCAGCAGCTCAGTACTACTTAACTTAGTTGAGTTACGCTAACTTGCAGTAGCTGCAGCTCTCTCAATCAATGTGTTTAACCGAAGGGGCTCTCTTGCAAAAATTAGTGAATAACACTGGACTAAATGATACATGTCAATACTTAAAAAAACTAATATAAAAATCAAAGCAAATGTATTATGAAAATAGATTTATTGAAATAAAAGGTAATATGAAAAGAACCTGGCAAACCCTTTCTGAAATTTTGGGCTCTAGAAAACTGTCTAGAAACAGAGAAAAAACTTAACTAAACCAAATGAACCTCACATACATCCTATAGACATGGCCAACAAACTTAATGGCTTCTTCTCTACTGTAAGATCAAAGCTAGCAAGCAAAATTCCAAATACAAATACTCAGCCGAAAGATTACCTCGCTGACAACTACCCAAATACTCTATCTAGCTTCAATTAATTCTACTGAAGTCTCACTCATCATTAAATCTTTAAAAAACAAAGCACGAGATCTAAATAACTTGCCACCATTCATAAATAAAAAAGCAGCTCATGTGCTGTCGCCCATTATTGCAACACTGTTTAATAAATCTGTAGAGTCCTCAATTTTCTCAACCATACTCAAGACAGCAAGAGTTACCCAATACTCAGAGGAGGTAATCAGATTGATTTGAACAGCTATAGACGTACAGCAAACTTGCCCTTACTTTCTATTAAAAAAAAAAAAACTACTTTATGCCTACTTTATTAACCCAACAACATACTTAACCCCTGCCAGTTTAGGTTTAGACCCAAAAAAGTTCGAATGATGCTGTTATACAAATGCTCGAACTATTATATACAGCCCACGATAAAAATGAATATCCACTGGGGCTTTTCACTGACCTATGGAAAGCATTTGATAAAGTGGACCACAATCTCCTGCACCTAAAACTAAATAATTATGGCATCAGAAGACATTCTCTCAGTTACCTAAAATCTTATCTTAACAATAGACAACAGTCTGGCTGGATAGTGGAGTCAACTCCACTATCCAGCCTGTAGCTGTGAGTGCCCCAGGGTAGTATCCTAGACCTACTCCTCTTTCTCATCTAGATCAATGATCTCCCCAATGCATCTCAACTCCTTAAACCAGTTCTAATTGCAGATGACACTACTTATGTCTACTCTCACTCAAACCCAGCTATACTTAGAAACACTGTAAACAACGAGCTGCTAAAAATATATATATATGTACTTGGATGATGACCAACAAACTCACTTTCTACATAGACAAAACATACTTCATGCTCTTTGGAAACAGAGCCTTAAATATCCAACTTAATATATCAATAAATGGTTCCCCCATCACAAGACACACTGAGGGTAAATTTCTAGGTCATCACCTTGATTGTAACATTAAATTTCATTCTCACATCCAGCATATATTCAAGAAAATTTCCAAATCAGTAGACCATCCTTTCCAAGATATGGTATAATGTACCCCAAATGACACTCCTTACCCTATACCACTCTTTAACCTGTTAACTGTCCAAATGTAGATCTACATTCGCTCGCCCAGTGCTCCGAATATTTTGAAAAAAAAAATCCTTTTTTTTTAAATCAAAAAGGGCAATTTTCTGTGTGTAATAAGACCAAAAAAAAATTTTAGGACCAGTACTTACTGAGATATAAGACCGTGATGTTGGCAATAGATGCTCACCTGATGGCAACATGGAGTCCTGCTGCTTGCAGAAGTGTTGCCAGTATACCTTTTCACTAGTTTTTATATTATTTTATATAATTTTTATGTTCTGATAATTACAATTTATAGTAGTTCTGACACTAACATTAGGTACCGAAATTGTACTCAAATTGTCACTAACACACTGACAGGTGAACATTTACACCTGCCTTGGTCAGGAATATATACAAAGTATTTATAGGTCCCAGCAATGTTTTAGACACACTGGAGCATACATGTAACTCCTCGAAGCATGGTGTTAAGATGAGTGTTAAACTGCTGACAGGGTAAGCAGTGGAGTGACACGATGATCATACACTGCTACATGGAACCCTGGCTATTTGCTTTCACTGTTACACATAAACATGTCTGTCTGTCTGTCTAGCTATGTCTGTTTATCCGGCTTTCTGTCTGCCTGAGTGTGTGTCTGTCTTTCTGTCTGCCTGTGTGTGTGTGTCATTCTGTCTGTCTGCTTGTGTGTGTCTTTCTGTCTACTTGTCTCTTGTCTCAAAGTTGCTCATGAACCAACTGGTATTACACACGATCATATCTTATTCCTGAACAAGTGAAAGTGCATATTACTTGCCAGTTGCCAGTCATGCTTATTATGCATTATATCTACAAGCACAGTATAGCACTGTGTCTGGATTTTTTCGGTTATCCTAGGTAATTCACACTATGTTTAACTGTATTTACGTATGTGTACCTGTGAGATAGAGACAAATAGACAGAGACAGAGAAAGTGATAGACAGAGATAGATACAGACAGACAGAGACAGCCAATCAGCTAGCCAGCCACTGGCCAGCCAGCCGGTGGCTGGCCGAACACGTATTACACGTTCTGGGATTGTTTCTTTTAGACGACACTACCAGTGGTACCAAAACTGAAAGGGTGTTGCACATGGGTTATTATCAAGGTTTTTGATATTTCTGCGACCACTTGTGGCCACATTCACCTCAAAGCCCCTAAACTCAGGGTCAACATCACTTGCCTCTTAAAAAGGGAGTGTTAATACAACATGACATCAGCGAATCCTTGGTGTTTGCCGCGCTGTTTGCTCTAACTGGCACTCAATTGAACTGGTGCTCCCATAAGGTACTAAGTGGTCCCATATTTTTTAATACTGCACACACCGAGTGTCAAGACCCAATCTACGCTGACCTGACATCTCAGGCCAATCGTGCCAAATTTGGAGGCAGGATAAATAAAACACAGGTCTACGTTCGAAGCACTAGCGGTAAGAGCGTAGATCTATGTTTGGACAGTTTAACGGGTTAATATATCCCTACTTCACCTATGGCATTTGTGCCTGGGGATCAACCACAGCCAACCACCTAAACCTTTAATAACCCAACAAAAAACTGTTGTGCAGATGATTACCAGCTCCTGTGCCAGACAACACACCCCACCACTTTTCAAAAGCCTGAACCTACTAAATGTATGAGACACACACTCATATTAATTGTGCCTGCTATATATACAGAACATTAAACTCCAATATAAACCATCCACTTAAACCTCTCCTTGATAGCTACAACAGAACACACAGTCACAATACAAGGCACAAGGCACTCTTCGACATCCCTCGTGTCAGTCTCACACCATGGAAAAATGCAATGCACAAAAAGGGCCCGAAGATCTGGAATTCACTACCTGAACCAATAAAGGAACCCCAACTACAAAGAAATTTAGGGTTATGCTTAAAAATCATCTCATCTCTCAATACTAACCAAACCAACCAAAACAACTTCTAATCAGTTTGAAGCAGCTCTTCCAAATATTATATGACCTCTAGTCCTAGGTAGTAGGTTGGTAGACAGCAACCTTTCAGGGAGGTACTACCGTCCTGCAAAGTGAGTGTAAAACGAAAGTCTGTAAATGTTTTATACGATAGTAGGATTGCTGGTGTCTTTTTTTGTCTCATAAATATGCGAGATTTCAGGACCGTCTTGATATTTCTACTTACATTTAGGTCACGCTATAAATACTTCAAGAGTGTATCAGTCAGTAGTGGAAGGAAGGCGGGGTAGGGTCCGGCCTGGGAAAAGGGTTGGAGAGAGGGGGTAAAGGAGGTTTTGTGTGCGAGGGGCTTGGACTTCCAGCAGGCATGCGTGAGCGTGTTTAAATAGGAGTGAATGGAGACAAATGGTTTTTAATACTTGACGTGCTGTTGGAGTGTGAGCAAAGTAACATTTATGAAGGGGTTCAGGGAAACCGGCAGGCCGGACTTGAGTCCTGGAGATGGGAAGTACAGTGCCTGCACTCTGAAGGAGGGGTGTTAATGTTGCAGTTTAAAAACTGTAGTGTAAAGCACCCTTCTGGCAAGACAGTGATGGAGTGAATGATGGTGAAAGTTTTTCTTTTTCGGGCCACCCTGCCTTGGTGGAATCGGCCAGTGTGATAAAAAAAAAAAACAAAAAAAAAAAATACATGCATGTACAAGCATATATATACATATACCCTTCTGAGTTTTCTTCTATTTCTTATTAGTTCTTGCTTATTTCCTATCTCCATGGGGAAGTGGAACAGAATTCTTCCTTTGTAAGCCATGCGTGTCATAAGAGGCGACTAAAATGCTAGGAGCAAGGGGCTAGTAACCCCTTCTCCTGTATATATTACTAAAATTAGAAAGAGAAACTTTTGTTTTTCTTTTTGGGTCACCCTGCCTCAGTGGGATACAGCCGGTTTGTTGACAGAAGCAGCAAATGACCTCTAATTAGCAGATGTTAATCCATAAAATATTACTGTTTGAACCATTATTTGTAATATTGTTTGTATTATGTGCAACAGCAAGATTATTCTTATAAACCTCCACCCTGACTACCTCACATTAGTATTAAGATAAAATAAAGGTTCATTAAAAAGTTAACCACTCTTATCTTGTCTAGACTTAAGTAGCTATTATGTACTAGGATTAGTCTGCCTGAAATGTCCCAGCATGATGGTGACTTTCTTTGTACTTAACAAATCAAAATTGTAATTACACAATGTAACCTTTGCAAAGAAATAAAACCTTTATTCTTTATTTTTTAGTACATATCTGTGACTAAGAGCTTGCCACCACATGTCCAGTACATACCTGTGACTGCTTTCAAGGTTTCTTTCCTACACATGCAGCCTAGCTTGAGGTCAGACTTCCTTGCTGACTGCCTGATCAACCAGACTGTTGCTGCCAGTAGCCTTCAGGCCTACACAGCCAACACAAAGACTGGCAAAATACTCTGCCATTTCAACATAGATAAGAAGAGAGGAAGAGAGATAAGACTGGTGCTGGTGCTACAAAGAGACCTCACCTGTGCAAGCAGCTCAGGACTGGCCCAGTTAAGATTGTAGCGTGCCTGGGGAGGATAACAATGGACGGTTTTCTGCAGTCTGGTGCTGTCCATGATGCAGGTGCTGTGACGCAACCCACTCAGTGCTACCCGACCTATACTGTCTATTAATATATGACTTCCTCTCACCGCCCTGAAAAACACAGAGTTAAGTTATAAAAAAAATTGCATTTACAAAAATAGCTGAGTACAGTAAAACCTTCATTTAATAGATGGCAGTTTAATGCATTTCAGATCTTAAAAATTACAGACTTGTTTGTTATTTTTAAGTACACTGTATTTCCTGGATAAATTTATTTTGGATTTAACCCTTTCACTGTCCAGATCCCCGACCTAAAATCTGTACACAATATCCAAGAATTTAAAAAATAAAATTGTTATTTTTTCTTATGAAATGGTAGAGAATTTTTTTCTGGAGGCAATAAAACAAAAACTACAATATTTGATGGAAAACTGACATAATTACACCTTTGTGAATTCTGCTGCATCAGTGATATTTACGCATTGGCGATTTGCCCACTGAGCCCTATTTTAGGCTAATTACATTGTTTCAACTGACCAAATTCTTAGCTATTTCACTAGTATGTCTTCCATTTTATTGACTGAGCACAAGAAATTGCCCATTGAACTATTTCAACTATCCAATAAAGTGAGCAGAAATTGGTAATTTGGCCAATTTCACATAAATTTCAAAATATTCCAATTTCAAAATATGGTTTAGAATAAACAATGCAGATGCATTCCTGTTCATTAATTACATTCTCAGGCTTTACACATGAATTCCATTTTGATTTTTTCTCACAAAAAATATAAGATTTACTGTCATGTAATATTTTAATAATAACATCAGTGCATTCGTGAATGCATATTAGATCCACCAGAGTGACGTGATTTGTTTACTTGTGAATATCGGCAAAAATCGAACATTTCTGCTGCTTTGAGCTCAATTTCAAGCTATTTTCAATCCTGAAACCAATCAAAATCATTTCTATTTCTGTACTATATCTTCCATTCTATCAAATGAGACCAAGAAACCAAGAATACAACCATAAGGAATAATGTAAATTATTCCTTATGGTTCGCTGTTATCACTAATCTTCTTACGCCCCATGGTGACTTATTTATACAAATAATATAAAAAAACGCCAAAAAATGTGAAGAAACACAAAATAGTCTACAGCAAAGTTCTGGCAGGTCGTGTTTGTTTGGTTGAGTGTTGAGCAAATGGTCGACTACTGAGAAAATTTTTTACCGAACAAAGTGTTCGAATACCAAATGGTTCGAGTTGGGAGCCATTCAAGTACCAAGGTACTACTGTACACTCACCATCATTTACACTATCACTGTCTTGCCAGAGGCACACATATCTATTATATTTTCTTCAAAATTATATAAGTAACATGCTACATAACATATAAACATTTTGTTTATATACTACGGAGGTGTGGTAACCGAGCGGAGGGAAAACATTACGTCACTCCCCTTAATAAAGGACGCTTTTGTTTACAATTCTCGGCATGAATTATTCATTACTTCTCCCTTTGTTTATGATGACATCTAAAGGTAGTTGCTAGAAACGATTAAACTCAGCGAACATGTCATGCGATGGTAATAATATGGCTCTGGGTCACATTAAATATCGTGTAGGTATGTAGCCCAGGTGGACTACATACCTACATTATTATTATAACTGATAATTATACGTATGTGTACCTGTACCTAAGTAAACTTACACACTGTGCTGGCATGCAGGTACACATTAACCCTCTCAGGGTCCGTGCCGTAGATCTACAGCTTTACGTTCAGGGTCCAAACCGTAGATCTACGCCATGAGCTCAGCTCACTCTGATAAGCTGTGAGTGGTAAATTTGGGCCTAAATGTGTGTGCACCACATAAAACAAATCCTCCAGCACACAGTGTATAATGAGAGAAAAAAAAACTGAGACCATGATTTTCGATTAAAACAGCGACTTTGCAGTGTTTTTTCATATGTTTTTTATAGTTGTATTTGCGATTTCTTGGTCTCATTTGATAGAATGGAAGATATATTACAGAAGTAGATATGATTCTGATTGGTTTTAGTACTGGAAATGGCTTGAAACTGAGCTCAAAGTAGCGAAAATGTTAAATTTTTGTCGATGTTCAAGAGTAAACAAACGACCTCACACGTCTAATACACACCAGCTGGTGGGTCTAATACACATTCACAAATGTGATGATGATATTTAAACAATTATTACAATATTGCATAACAGTAAATCTTCTATTTTTTGGTTTGAATAAAAATTCATTATGTGAATAAAAAATAAAAATGGAATTCATTTGTAAAGCCTGAAAACATAACTAATGAACAGAGGAAATGTTAGTTTAGCGCCAGGAATGCCTGCATTGTTTATCCTGGACCCTATTTTGAAATTGGAATATTTTGATCTTTGTGTTAAATTGGCCAAATTACCAATTTCCGATCACTTTATTTTGTAGTTGAAACAGTTGACTGGGCGATTTCTTGTGCACAATCGATAGAAGTAATACTAGTGAAATAGCTAAGAATTTGATCGACTGGAATAATGTAATTGGCCTAAAATGGGAGTCAAAGTCGGCAAAATCGCCGATTCGTAAATATCGCTGACACATCAAAATTCGCGAGAGCATAATTTCGTCAATTTCCAGCAAATTTCGTACTTTTTGTTTTATTACCTTCAGAAATAGATTCTCTACTATTTCATAAGAAAAAATAACAAATTTTTTTTTTTTTAAATTTCTTGGACACTGGGGCACAACTTTAAAATTTGGCCTCTGGACCCTGAAAGGGTTAAAATCACTAAGAATGTCTTATTAGTCTTGAAGATGCCATATTAATAATAACACAATAATAATCACTCTAAGGAGCATTAAATATCGTATAAAATGTTAATACAGACATTTTGCTTAATCCATCTAAATACACCCCACAGTAGAATAAATTAACATAAATATGAGATGTGGTAGCCAGGTGACTTGTAGGACTTGTGGTAGCCAGGTGACTTGTAGGACTTGTGGTAGCCAGGTGACTTGTAGGACTTGTGGTGGCCAGGTGACTTGTAGGACTTGTGGTAGACAGGCAACTTATGGTAGCCAGGCAACTTGTAGGACTTGTGGTAGCCAAGCAACCTGTAGGACTTGTGGTAGCCAGGCAACCTGTAGGACTTGTGGTAGCCAGGCAACCTGTAGGACTTGTGGTAGCTAGGCAACCTGTAGGACTTGTGGTAGCCAGGCAACTTGAAGGACTTGTGGCAAAAACCAGATGCATTCATCTGGTTTGTTTACATTATGTGTGGGTGGGGTGGTGAGGGCTGCCCTTCCTGGCTACCCATACTTCCCAACCTGACTTCATACAAATAAAACTTACCATCATTCACACAATATCACACAGTGATATTGTGTGAATGATGGTGAAAGTGTTCTTTCTATTTTGGGTCACCCTGCCTCAGTGGGAGACAGCCAAAGTGTTGAAAAAAAATCTCACATTGTATACAATGCAAAGAAATAAAAATTTTATTTGCAAGTACACTCCTCAAATTGAAAGCTCCTTCTGTGTCCACAAGTTTGGAAACAATACTTTATCTTTAAAAATGATAGGGGACCTTTTTTCTAAAGGCAATGACACCAAGAATGCAAAAGTTGACATAATATTTACGGAACGGCAGAGGAGTGAAGTTGGAGGCCAGGAAACACTATGCAACAGGGATTTTGTACACTTTTAGGGATTATGTTAAGTCAATTATTCTACTCAAACCAGGCCAACAATTCCTAGCTATTACACTAATAGTCCTTCCATACTATCCATTGATCACAAGATGACAACCATTCAACCAAAAAACCTATCCTTTAAAGCAATCAGAATTAAAAAATTTTGCCAATTTTACACTATTTTCAACAAATTTCAATTAGGAAACAGAATTCAAAATAAACACTGTAATTATTCCAGCCAGTATAGCAACCTGTCTTCTGTTCATTAATCATGTCTCCAGGCCTCTCCTATATAACACTTGCCCTCCACTTTGAATCCATCACACAAATTAATAGATGTTTTCCTTATTTCTTGGCTAATAACAACCAAGAATGCTTGGTCCTAGTTTACGCATCTCAATAATAGATGGAGACTTATGAAAAAACCCATAAAAGACTGCAGAAGAGTGAGGGTCCCTTACCTATTCCCAGAAAAATTGCCCAAAACTGACCAAAACCTTCACATATTGTCTGTTTGTTGGCACCAAGCAACAGCTAATAAAACTACCCTGAAAACAACCCAGAGTTACTATTTTAACTCAAACACAGAATCTACTTACCTGGAGAATGTTCCAAAATTTAATGCCCCAGGGCCAGGTCCCAGACCAAGTCAGGGTCAAAGGCTATCTGTTCCCACCATGCATTATGTGGGCAGGAATTATTTTTAAACTAAGCACACTCACCACACAGACCCATTCTCTCTTGTCTATGCCAAAATTTGGCACATGCAGCAAATTTGAAGGAACTATGAATTATGCGTATTAGTACACCATGAATACTGATCACTATGACATACTAGTACATGATGGACAGCATAAGAGTTAAAGTATAAAGTCACATTTTAGAAAGCATGGTTAACATTCACTCAAATTCATAATATCAAGACACCCTTCAGAAATTGATTTTTTTTTTTTTCAACAAGTCGGCCGTCTCCCACCGAGGCAGGGTGACCCAAAAAAGAAAGAAAATCCCCAAAAAGAAAATGCTTTCATCATCATTCAACACTTTCACCACACTCACACATTATCACTGTTTTTGCAGAGGTGTTCAGAATACAACAGTTTAGAATCATATACGTATAAAGATACACACCATATCCCTCCAAACTGCCAATACAGTGGACCCCCGCATAACGATATTAATCTGTTCCTGAGAGCTCATTGTTATGCGAAATTATCGTTATGCGAATGAATTTTCCCCATAAGAAATAATGGAAATCAAATTAATCCGTGCAAGACACCCAAAAGTATGAAAAAAATATTTTTACCACATGAAATATACATTTTCCTGCACACAAAGAGAAGGATACATGCACAATAGTAGAGTAGTACATGCACAATATATATTGTGCATGTACTACTCTA